TTATAATTTTCCTTAAAAAAATTACATAATGTAGGTATTTTTTACTCGAATAACGCTGACGTAAAACAAAACAATAATAGTACCTACTCGTAGATAGATATACAAGAAGTGGGACACATAAAAAATCGATTCCTTAATTATTATTATTTTGTAAGTTTTATTAGATTTTCCACCCACAGTTATTTATTTTCATATATTTAATTCGCATTAATGACCACGCAAATGATATGGTCTATAAAATATCATATCGCCACTCAGATCTTGTATTCGCTGAAATAGGGTTGGTGAATTCTGAAAATATTATTTGCTTATAATATTTTGTATAGTAATTGACGACACGTTTGGCTCAGTTTGTAATGACCGTTTGAAGTATACTTGTTGTGCCAGCGGTCGCGGGTTTGAGCCCCGCTGAGGGCATTCATTTGTTTGATGAGCATGAATGTTTGTACTCCAGACATGGGTATTTATATTTATAATATGTATATATTTAAAGTTATATATGTGTAATATATCAACTATCTGGTATCCATAACATAAGTCTCGTAGCTTACCATGGAACTAGATAGTGCTGTGGTTAATTTCTCAACATATTTATATTTATTTATTTATATTTAGTATCTTTTGTTTTTATTTTAAACCTTAAATTAACTAAACAAGAATACCAAATGCATGATAGTAAACAGTAATCGGAACTTACGAGTATATATTTACTCCTGCAATATCATCACTTGTGTAGGTACCATCTGAGGAGTGAAGTGAGATACCAGCATAAAGAGAGAAAAAGGCAGGAGATTTAATATGAAAAATGCCTCCTCCTTATTATGATGGGTTCGATTATTATAAAATGTTTAATTCATTTCTTTTATTTCGTGGCTTCTAGGAATGCCAGTTGGGCACAATTTTCTATCTCGCCAATGTCACGTAGAATTTATAAAATGTTATTAATATTATATTAACTACAATAAGGATATTAATGACATTTGACATTTTTTTCATTTTTTTATTTAGGTATATTTAATTTAAGTACCTAAATTTGATTTACTTACATAACACACTATTAATAGGTCCATCAAAATTTTAATTAAATTAATATAATTTAAATTTTATGTCGTCAACCCTATCACGTGCGAATTAACAGTGAAGGGTACAATCGAGAGATTTATATGATTTTTGCCCTCTCGATTAGCTTTTATTCTATATGTCCCTATAAATTCTTATTATCAATTGAAATATTATATTCTGAACATAATATTCATGATAAATAATTGGTTAGTAACTTGTATCGAAATGGTTATAAATTACTATTTATTATACGAAGATCCCAAGTCGTATTCCCTAGAAAATCCCTAGTCTATAAAAGTACTGTTGGAAAGGTTACGAATTTTATTTCTATAAGGCAGAATATTTGTATTACGGTCTAATTATGAGTTCCTCCACGACGTGTGTTCAGTGTTCATCTTTTCCGGTGTGTATTCATTAGCGTCCGGCAAACCGTTAACCAGCTGGGTGCGAAACCAAGAAACGCACTGGAAGGCGGCCCACCTTGGTGAGCGATGTGCCATGCGGGTTGCCCCAAGTACTTCTCTGATAGCAGAGTGGACCGTTAAAACAAACCAAAGGTTGTTGTAGCTTATATATGTATATTTCGATACTTACAATGAGATCTTCACAATCCATCCAATAATATTATGCCTAAAATTATGTAAAATACATAATATTAGGTTTGATAAGTGGAGTTAAGCTCTAAAGTCTAATATATCATTTTATATGGATTCAATGTCAAAGACAAAGAAATGCCAATGAACTAATTGAAATAAAACTTACTCGTATATTTTCATAGTATGAGACTGGACAATTATAGTACATAATATTAAAAAGGTAAAAGCCCCATTGAAATGTGGATAACTAGATTATATATATACTATTCTTTATTGCACTTATATGTAAAATACAGAGAGTAACAAACAATAAAATTAGTTAGCAAAGGTGGACTTATCTCTAGAAGAGATCTCTTCCAGTCCACCTAAGTGAGTTAGAGAGATAGTATTAAAATGCAGGCTAAAGTGCAGTAACTTAAATGTAAATACTTAAATAAATATATATTATATATACATATAACAAAACATTATACATATTATATACCATAACATATGTACATACTACTACATACACAAATACATGTCTATATAATATATTGCATAATAATAGTAGTTAATATAATTATTGTGGAATAACTTGGGTGAGAAAGTGCTGTTTTATTGTCTTTTTAAAGCAATGCGGCATACACCGAAAAAGATAGATTATATAGAAGATTATATAGAAAGTAAAGAATTTTTTTTAAAGCAATTTCTTTTAATTTAATATTTGAAACCACATTATTTTCTAAGTATTTATTTATTTATCTCATAGTGCATAACGGCCCTAATTACAATGCAATCTCCTTTTTACCGCGTTACATTGGAAGATTCCTCAAGTCCACGGGCTTTGTTCTCGATAATTAAGTTAGCACGATTTCTCGATTACATTCCCAGTGCCTCTGATTTAATTGTCCACGGTCTAGAGAACAAAAGCTTCATTTTCAATAATGTTAGACAAATAATGAAAAAAGTTTAATTTGTTTTCGCCATGTTTCTTTCTTGTTTTAAAAAACCACAACAAATAAACATTTTAAATAACCTTAATGTAATCGTTTTGATTCAAAGATTTTGCCATTTATATTAACCTTCTGAAATTAGCGTATTGTCGAACTAACCACTTTGATCTCTAATATCTGGTGTTTGGTTAGGACTTCCAAATTTAAATTTATTTCAAATTTAGGCTTGTGTATATTTTGTTTTTTGAATTGAGTAATTAAATAGAGACTCAACCTCGCTTCGCTTGGGTTCGTTTCTAGGTACGAGTATGTTTTATTGGTTACAATGGTTTCGCTTAAGCCATAATATAAAATATCCAGAAAGAGTGGTTAAGAGCTCGTAATAGGAATTCACTTGACTTTTTGACTAGGAATTGACTTGGAACCTTCATTACCTTCCTATAGATTTACAATAAAAAGACGAATAGTTAACGGTTAGTTTAGATTTCAACGATGGGATATTTTCTCCCAGTAAAAAGTATTTTATATTTTGACCCGGATAACCACCTATCCTATAACCACCTATCATACCAAATTTCATCAAAATCTGTCTGGTACTTTTCTCGTGATAGAATTTTTACAGACAGATAAAAATTCTAAAAACTATAGATTCGGACTCTGTATCGATAATAATGACTATTTTAATGAGATTTTCCAAAGAATATTTAATGTACAGATTCGACTCAGTTAGATTTTTATTATATGTATGGATTTGTTTTCGCGCCATTTGATTTTTCTTTGAATGTAGAAAACTTAAAATATCGCATTATTTACAAATAAGAGTTCGTTTTGTAAATAACACGACATTATTATTGATCCTTCAATCTGTTTTTGGTTCCAAAGTTTTCGTTCTGGAAATTTTGACCTACAGAGAAAACTTCGTAGACGACCGTAGACCCTAATTGACAATGAAGAATTAAAACTTAAAAGTGATCGTGAAACGGATCCATCACACGTCAGAACAAACAATTTTAATTTCCTTGAAAAAAATTGGAAAAGTGAAAAAGGTCGAAAAATTAGTACTACATGAAACCACTCAACCGTCACAATAACGAGAGTATTTTGAATCGTATCGTTCTTTTGTTGAACAATGCATCTGTACCATAATCGAAAACGCTCATCACAATGGTTCGACCCAGGAGAACCGGCCAAATCCTGCCCCAAGCTAAAGTTGCCTCAGAATAAGGTACTGGTAGACCAGTGCAGCTGGTGTCATCCACTACAGCTTCCTAAGATCTGGCCAGATGATGACGGCAGATCTTAGTATTGTCAACAATTGAAACCACAATGGAAAAGCTAGCGGTTAAACAACCGAGACTGGTCAATTGCTTTAGCCCACTGCTGCGTTAGTTTTTCAAGAAAAGCCGTAATACAAACTTTAAAAACTACGACTTCTAGGCACTAAAATGTAAAAAATAACTAAACGAAGGTTTTCATTTAGAATAAATACCTAATCAGATATTTTCGAAGTCGGTGCCAACCCATGCTAAGCAAATCTAATATATTTCGATTCGTAAAATACATATTTATCTACATATTAGATAATATTCATATCTTAAAATATTGTAGGCTGGCACTGACTTCGAAAATATCTGATTAGGTATCTATTCTAAATGAATACCTCAGTTTAGTTATTTTTTATATTTTAGTGCCTAGAAGTCAGTTTTTATTTTATTTTTAAAAGTTTTTATTTTTCCATTTTTAGTGCAGGTAATTTTTTAAGAGGAAAGTGTTTTAACATATTCGATTAAACAATTTATTTAAAAAATATATAAATTGTAGATTTTTATTAAAACCGATTTCGATAAAATTTATAGGGACTACCTGGAACCTTTTGAAACGAAAAAAAATTCCAAATCGGTTCAGGCATCTTTGAGTAATCGGTGAACATACATAAAAAAAATCTGATGAATTGAGAACTTCCTCCTTTTTGGACGTCGGTTAAAAAATAGTAATATCGATGATGTTTTTTTATACGTAAGGTAGAAAATAAAATGTTAGTGACATTTATATAATATAATATTATTTATATAATGAAGTCAATTTAGTTATTTCTTGTTTATAAAAATTTAAGAAATTTTGCTCGAATTTTGTAGTCACGGACATGTTTGCAATCGATTAAGATACTGACATATAATTACCTGTGCGGATTTGCCTTAAACTTAAAAGTCATCTATACTCTGTAGCGTAAATTGTCACAAATGTCAACTGACGTGTATATTTATTATCTTTATTTGTTTATTTCCTTTTCACTTTTCAGTGCCGATTGTCTTGCTTTTGTAAACATATTTTATTTTATAAGTACGCGTAAAATCTATAAAACAGTGTTATTAATTATATAGGGTAATAATTAAAGTTCTCGTCAATAATGTTGAAAGCTGTGATACTTATTGGTGGCCCTCAAAAAGGTAAATTTAAAATTCATGTTTTCAACGTCACCGGCTTTTATCAGTTAAATCATTAGGTGTTATAATAGTTGATATTCTATTAGATTTATAATATCTATGAGCTATTGTTGTCACTATACTGAGATAATATTTTTAGATCAATAATATAACTAGAAGTTTTCATCTTGTCAAAATGTATGAAATGTGTTATTTATAGTTGTTCTAAACTCATGTTTTATGAAAAATGTAAAATTCTGTCTTTAACATTTTTAGTTCTTAAATTAGGATGAATGAATACTTTCAAAATAATAAGCTTGAAGAATAAAATGATTGAGTAATAAAATGTAAAACACATTTATAATTAGGTATAATTTTTCTTTTTAGTTTATCATATTTTGACGACACGTTTGGCTCAGTTTGTAGCGACGCTACTTGCTGTGCCAGTGGTCGCGGGTTCAATACCCGCTGGGGCCATTCATTTGTGTGATGAGCATGAATATTTGTACTCTGGTCATGGTTGTTTATATTTATGATATGTATGTATTTAAAATTATAAATGTGTAGTTTATAAACTATCTGGTATCCATAACACAGGCCTCGTAGCTTACCATGGAACTGATGGTGCTGTGTGTTAATCCCAACATGTTTAAAATTTAAAATATGTATACATTCTGTTTTCTTTTATGATGTTGCTACTTACCTAATTTCAAAATTATAATAAAAATAGAGGACTGTTCAATAAAATATTTCTTATTATATTTATCAAATCTTCATTTATTTTAAGCTTTAAATATAATGGTATCTGTGTAATAGAGTAGTTGTATTTGTACTTATGTAAAATACTTATAAATAAAAACTTTAAAGTGACTTCTTCTATCAAGAGTATATAGTATCATATTCAGGCCTTTTTAACATCCCACTGCTCAGGCCGTAGTCCACCATACTGGCTAAGAGAGTATTGTCTCACTATATTTGTATAAATAATAATTGTAGCATGGTATAATAGTTCTATCATGTGTACTTTATTTGAAATAAAAATTGTAATGACATAAAAAATATCTCCTTTCTATTCTTTAAGGCATAAAATAATGAAAATATTCTCATATTTCAGGCACAAGATTTCGTCCCTTATCCCTGGATACACCCAAACCCTTATTTCCAGTGGCTGGTCTTCCTCTAATACAACATCATATAGCTGCATGTGTGAAACTTGCAGAATGCAAGGAAATCCTTATAGTTGGATCATATACTACTACCACAATGGCTCAGTTTGTCAGTAATATGCAAAAAGAATATCATGTAATAATAAGGTAATTTCTGATAAGAATTAATTGTTTTTTTTTGTATTTAATACGTGACTATTCATCATGTTATTCTATGAATTAGCATATTTAAACAATATACATTCTTATGAATTTTATTTTTATCTGAGAGCCATATTTTGTCTCACTCTCTCTGTCTCTCTGTTAGTCTGTCTGTCTGACAATCTCATCAACATAGCATGTATCGAGTCTAATTCTTTTGGCATAAGGGTACAATACAGGTAGTTCTACAGCAGCAACTCATCTGGGTCTATTGCTTTTCTGTATAACATAAAATTTATGATATGATGATATGAGATTATTGAAGATATCTTAAACAAATTCAATTTACTCAACGATTTGACCCTTTTTCTACAGATACTTGCAAGAATTCACACCTCTAGGTACAGGTGGTGGCTTATATCATTTCCGAGACCAAGTAAGAGCTGGCAATCCAAGTGCATTCTTTTTATTGAATGGTGATGTTTGTGCTGATTTTCCTCTTAAAGAACTGTGGAAGTTCCATGAAGAAAGGCCTAATGCTTTGGTAAGATATTAAGGATTTGCCACTTTTGGTAGATTTATGTATGAAATTTTAATATTTTTACAATAATTGTTAATAACACGCATATCTATAAAAGATCATCTTGCTATACATTTGTTTTTTTTTTTAATTATATCCCATCAAAAACTTAAATGTGAAAAGGGAGCCAAGTTCAATATTAAGAATATTTGTGATTATCAACTTCACCGACAAAAGAATTGAGATCATAATGGGTGCCAAGTTCTGTAGATAATCCTGAATTTTTTTCATAAAAACATACAACATTCTAAAATTAATTTAAAACACAATTTCTTTTTTTTTCTGCTACAAAAAGGTTTGTTATTTAAAAATAGAAGTCTTAAATTTGAACAGTCGAATTATTTACACAGAGTAGATAACTTAGGATAAATTGAAGTTTTAGATTTGATTTGGCTAGTTTTTACCAGTAAAACAAGTTTTAAGAAGAGTGAGATATGTTGACCTTAAAATATAAAAAAAAACAGTAACTTGTGTATAGCATAAAGAAGATATTAGCTACCTAAGTCTTTAATAGTCAATATTATTGTCTTTTATTAATTTTGAAATATTTCTTTTAGGTAACAATTATGGGTACAGAGGCAACTCGTCAACAAGCAGTACACTATGGTTGTATGGTCAGAGAGCCGGCGACCAAAGCAATCACCCATTATGTAGAGAAGCCAAACAGCTATATATCTACACTAATCAATTGTGGTGTCTATGTGTGTTCATTACAAGTGTTTCACACAATGGCGGAAGCTTTTCAAAGGAAACAAGATGGTTTTTATAGGTAATATGTTTATTAGCACATAATGCTAGAGAGAGAAAAAGTGCTAAGACATCTGTTTCTGAGGATTTTTAAATAGATATTTTGTAATTTTAATAAAGCTTTCAAAAAAGATGATTTGATTTGGCAGTGTTTGCATCCCTGTGCTACAGAGAGCGTGTCTGTCCGGCACCTAATCTCACACCCGAATAAGAAACCTAAAAAAAGTTGTCATTTTTCGTCTCTTTTACCTTGTTCTAGTCCTACCTAAAACACTATGTATATTGTATAACCCACCTAATATTTTAAAATAATATTTATATTTGTTTTTTTTCAGTGGTAACGGTCAAGGCAGTCCTCACCCGGGTTACATGTCGTTTGAACAAGATGTGTTAGCTCCGCTAGCTGGTACCAACAAATTATATGCTATGCAGGTAAAATAATACTTATAATATAATATTTTTATAGATTTACGCGAATATTTGACATTTCAAATAAAACGAAAAGATAAGTGTTATTTAAAACAATACAATATGTTACATTAATGTTCAATTCAATTCTATATTTAATGGCTTCAATGCGTGCTTGTTGAGCGCAAATTATTTCGCCAATGTCAAGTTGAAGGAGTCACGATGGAGATTGGTCAGTGATATAATTTAAAAGACATCTTAAATAAAATTATTTTTTCGCGGATTTATTTTGATTTTTGGTTCCCGACGTTTCGAATGCTTTACAGCAATCATGGTCACGGGAAAGACTAAGGTTTTAGACGTCTTATAGGTCATTATATACTTGTTACAGACCACAACCAAAAATCAAAATAAATCTGTGAAAAAATCCGAAATGATATATTTAGACTAGCGACTCACCCTTGCTTCGCTCGGGTTCGTCTCTAGGTACGTTTTAACGGTTAGTATGGACTATATATTTATTATATGATATATACCCTTTTCCTTCCTCTATAAACGGGCTATTTAATGCAAAATGAATTTTTCAAATCGGATTAGTAGTTCCTGAGATTAGCGCGTTCAAACAAACACAAATAACAAGCAAACTCTGCCTCTTTATAATATTAGTAGACATAGAAGTCAAGTAGTCGCATAAATCAAAGAAAGTATTATTCAAAGACATTTGACATGACCTACATTGGAACGAAGCTATAATAAAATATGGAATATAAAACTAAACTAATATAAAATATAAACTAAATATAAAATTAAATACACTTACAAATAGTCAATTACAATTAGAAATAGTCAATTGTATCAAAAACTATTTAAAGAAGACAAATTTTATTTTAAATTTATTTACAGGTAATAAACTGGTGGTCGCAAGTGAAAACGGCTGGTTCAGCAATATACGCGAACCGCCATTATTTAGAATTGCGTAAACAGAGCCTCGAACCCGCGCCATGCCGTATACTGCCCGATGTCTTCATACATCCCACTGCGATCGTAGATAGTAGTGCTGTGGTAAGACGTTGATATTCATTTTATTATGCTTAAATGTATTAAAATGTCTGTCTACTACACCGTTTCATACCATGACCGTGCTATGAATGTATCAGGCACGGAAACTAGCATGGCACGGACTACTATGCCCACCATTGCGCCGCCTGCGCGCACCGGTCCCGCAACGTCGCGTGCAAGGCACGACGTGTACCGGTACCGGCAAAATATTCTCACCGATAATTGTTACCGCTCCGTGCACGGCACGCGACGGTGCCGCAACGGTCTGGTGCGCAGAGTCTCATACTTTTCAATACAAAGAATTTTTTTTTTGCCTGAAACGGTCCTAGCACGATCATAGTATGAGACGGTGTAGTGGGCAGACACCTTTAGCTGGCTATTTTGGTTTCGCCGATATTTTTTTATTTTATATTGCACTCAATACACTAATAAAATTATCTACGTATTAATTCAGGATACAAGCTATATTCATTCAGATTTTCACAAATCTGTTGAGCCGTTATTTTAAAGAAATAACAATGACTTATTTACTTTTACTTAACTAACTCTCTGTTATTTTAAATAATCTTTTCATTTCGCGGGTTTATTTTGATTTTAGGTTTCCGACGTTTCATATGCTTTACAGCAAACATGATTTTTTAGACGTCTCAAAAGTCATTATACAGTTGTTACAGACAATTCGTCAAATCCGCGAAATAATCCGTAAAGATAATTTTATTTAAAATGTCAAATATTTGAGTAAATTTCACAAATTCTTAATAATATTGTGGTTACAGATAGGACCAAATGTGTCGATAGGAGCGGGAGTCACGATCAAGGCGGGCGTGCGCGTGAAGGAGTCCATCATTCTGAACAATGCCACCATACACGAACACGCACTAGTCATGTATTCTGTCGGTGAGTGTTACCTGTTAGATATTCATATCTTAAAATATTATAGACTGGCACCGACTTCGAAATTCTGTTTAGGTATCTATTCTAAATGAAAACCCCCCGTTTAGTTATTTTTTACATTGTAGTGCCTGGAAGTCGGGTTTTTTTAAGTTTTAATTATATATTATGTATGAGTGTAAAAATGTTGATATATTTCTTTTACTTTTTCCTATGGTAGTGGGTCAAGAGGCGTCAGTAGGAGAGTGGGCGCGGGTCGAGGGCACTCCCTCCGACCCCGACCCCAACAAACCCTTCGCTAAAATGGACAACACACCGTTGTTCAATAACGACGGACGGTTGAATCCATCTATTACTATATTGGGTAAGTGTAGGAGATAATAATAATAAGATTTATTTTAGGATTCTTGATGCTTCTTAGAATCAATATTTGGTTTTGAGGTTTTTGAGTGAATGAATTAGAAATGTGAAATATTTGTTTGTATATAATAATTATTTAAATAGACATTAAAATGGCAATAAAATTTAATATTTTAAAGAAAGATGTTATAAAGAAAATGTATATAAATATGGTCATACATATGTTATACAAATATATAATAATTAATAAATACATATATATTTTTTTGAAGTTGGTTAAAAAAAACAATAACTAGGTACGATACCAATATAAATTATATAAGTAGTTATTTTTATTTATTTTATTTTCAGGTGCAGGCGTAGTTGTTCCGGCTGAAATGATTCTTCTAAACTCTATAGTGTTGCCACATAAGCACTTAACAAGGAGTTTCAAACACGAAATTATTTTATAGTACATACTTCATCATTTTTCTATCGATATAAAGAAAAATGAATATTCGTATATTTGTCGTCTACGCGTTCCTAAACCATTGATCCGATTGTGATGAAACTCTGGTGGGTTATTGTGTATATAAGCGAAAAAAAAAAAAACATTTTTCTTTCGGCGTTTTTCTTTTAAGGGTAAGTCGTTAGTATATAATAAAAATATGTACGGACAATATTATATATTATGTGTATAGTGAAAGTGTATTTAAATTGAATAAATTAATGGAGTATTAAAGATTTAAAATATATGGTGGTATAAGGGCTCGTTCACACTGACTGATATATTAGTACAAGTATTGAATCTAAAACATTTTGTTTAAACTTAAATTACAAATCATTTTTTTTTCGTGTCTTTTAAACCGACTTTAAAGGAGGAGTAAGTTTTTAATTAGAGTGTTTTTGTACCACATCTATACCAATGATCGTGCTAGAATTCGCCGCGAGAGGCGCTAGTGTAGAGTGAGGTCTCTAGAAATGTCAAATGCCCCTGAACGTTTACTGTTTGCGAGCTTTTCTTCACGGATTTTCACAAATTATTCATAGATGTAAAGATTGTGCCATTCCTGATTTAAAATAAAATCCTGATAAACTGTTAACAATTATTATTACAAGTATATACCGCCTTTGAGACTTCTAAAAATTGTCTCTCCGCGACCATAAAGTCGGGAAGCAAAAATAAAAAAAAATCTGCGAAATAATCCGAAAAGTAAGTTTTATTTACAATTATTATATTAAATTTATTGAGCTTGCCGCACTAACAAACACTTTTTCGTCGGAACAAACTGAAAATATATATAATGTAACGAGCGGAGCAGTAATAATGAGTGTCAACAAATCGGGCACACTTCCATACATTATTGTAAAACTGATGTTTATAATCAAACAAATTTAAAGCGGGTGAAACCTCGGGGCACAGCTAGTATAAAATAAGACGGAATACGCTTTGGAAAAAATCACAAAAAATTTCAAAAATAAATTAATAGCTACTCTGTATCACGGTTTTAAAAAATCTATAGGTTATCTATTGCTGTTTAATTTGTTCAATATATTTTTTGTTATAATAATAATAATTTACATATTGCATAAAAATATTAAAATTGGACGTAGTTATGCAAAATGGATCCAGCCCACGAAAACGGTTTTTTGAGTTACTGTCATATGGTACCCACATATCAACCTATATGCAAAAAATATCCAAGCCGAAAAGTGCCTGTTTTCTTTTGAAACATTCAGACGCTAACGATACCAATAAAATATTAAGAATTTTCGTAGAGTTAAAATAGAACCATTTATCATGGTAACATAGATAACGAGTTATAAAAAAAAACGTGTGTGTGTACCTATGTACGCACGTAAGAAGTTATACTTCTTTGGCGTAACAGAACAAAAACAGCTAAAGATTTCATCCCGTATGTCACAACTATCTGTTTGTAAAGGGAATGATAAATTAATAAAATAATTAGATAAAGCATATTAGGCATATTACAATCATATATTAATAGAATATCATTTATGGAAATAATATTATATATTATTTGTCAGACAATAACAAGGGTTACCATGGCAACAAAAACAGTTACCATGCTAACCAAACAAAGAAGGCTGTCGGTGTGCTCCTGCTGTGCATCGTAAAAATTTTACTCTCATACTTTTTTCCAAACGTCCCAATAGAAGTATAACTTCAAAAACTACGGTCTTGTTATTTTGATAACTCTCCCAATTTTACTAAAACTCCTATTTTCTCAAAAGTAAGTTTTGTGGTTGGATCTATTTTGCATAACCACGTCCAATTGTACAATATCATGCCAAAGACAACTAAATATAATAGACGTACCAGTGATATATGTTATTGGTAAAACATTAAAATCACAAATATGGTTTTTGTTATATTATTTTTCATGCAAATGTGTTTTTTTTGGATGTCACATTTTTAATAATACTTTTTCAAGTGCAGCACAAATATATTTTTTAATTTAGTATCTGGAAAGTTCCATTATAATTGTATATTAAAATTAATTTCTTATATCTATATTTAAGGTTATAAAAATAAATTGTTTAAGCACAAACATTTGTTTTATTTTTAATTTCCGGGAATTATACATTTGGAAGTACATTTCTATATCAAAAGTTATCTATTCAATTAAATATGTAAGTATAATCGAATTCTAATTTCAGAATATTAAATTAAAAAAAAATGAATTATTTCGAGATTAGTACCTTCAAGAAACTAAATGTGACTTAATTATTATTCCAATAGCAGGTAAATTCTTATGTAAATGCCTCAGTGATCCAGGCGTCCTGAATTCGAGTCCCGGGCCGGCCATATATAGTCTTTCTAACTGTCATCCCACCGGAGTATGAGAGTGACAGGAATGGTAGTGCACGTCGTGTCTGCGCGTACACGCGTTGCACTATAATATCTCCTGCTCTAATTGAGTTTTTCCGCCGTGGCCAAACTCGTTCAGGAGAACATCATATTCTTATCTAGATTTATGTTTTAGTAATATCTTATCACTCAAGTTAAAAATATATTTGGTATTCAATTAACATTTTAATAGACGCTAATTTAAAAGTAATTATGGACAACATTCATTAATAAATAAATAAATAAATCAATAATCTTTTTAAGTTTTCTACCGTAAATTACGGTTTATTTTAAAGTATTTGTAACTCATTAGCTTAAACGTTATTAATAAAGTTATGGTTTTATATATGTACAATGTACATATATATATTATGTACATATATACCCGGCGTCATTGAGGTTGGGTATGGAGGACCCGGTGTGTTTAAGAATGCGTATATTTTTTTATGTGCGCGCGCGACTTTGCTATTCTTCTCAGTAGCTGGACCCAACGATGTGTTCTAAACGTTTTTGAAAAGAAATCAGTCAAGCGGTGACCGCGCTGGTAGCTACACGCGTGCATTTGACAAAAAGGTAAATTTGACCCATGCTTACAGCCAACGTTACAATTTTGCACCTCTTTTTGTATGATTTTTTATAACTTAATTTTGTTTTTTGGTGTTTATTTAAGTTTTTTCTTATGTTTTTGATATTATTTTTTCCTTGATTCAAGGTAGTTAGATACATGGATAGAGAGCCAACGAATTTTGTCAATTCTTGAGGAATCTGATTCAGAAGAAGGCTTGTCTGATAACGATGATGTGGATGAAGAGAATCACGTGAGTGTTTGTACTCAACCTAGCGATACGGAACAACTGGAGAAAAACGTAAACCTGAAATTAACACGTACTAAATGTGGGGTGGACGTCGTCGATGAACTTAGCGCTACGTATGACGTTAGCCGTAATTCAAACAGATGGCCTCTTACAATTTTTTACGCCATGTTGAATATTTCTGCTATTAACGGCCTTATAATACACCGCATGAATAATAATAAGCCTAAGGAAAAACGACGTCATTTTTTGAAAAGCTTAGGTCTTGCGCTCTTCAGTAATCATTTGAAAAACCGCCAGAATTTGAATCGCTTGCCACGAGAAATGCGTAAGAGAATCCGGGAGCTTACTGGTGATTCAACCGAAGAGCCTACTGCTAAAATACCAAATGCCCGCAAAAGATGCCAAATATGCCCAACAAAAAAGGATCGCGCCAGAAACGAAACATGTCGAGGTTGTGACAAATATATTTGCCCTGAACATATCATACCTTTCTGCAGTGATTGTGTAAATAATGAGGATACCAATCAGTTTTGTTAAACTTTTTTTCAAAGATTTATTAGTTAGGTATAATTTAAGTTCCATATATGACTGAAAAGATTATATTTTAGATTAATAAGGTTGTGAAACTCGAAGGGATCTCATTTTTGATGAGTTTTTAAAAATTTAAGTTTAATTTAAAAAATTATCAATAAATGTTCTGTGATTGAATCTTTTTTCTTTTATTCCTATAATCAGAGGGTAAATATACATTATAATGACAAAGATTACGAATATATTTAATCCCATTACAATCGGTTAAGCCGTTCCAAAGGTTAGCCCGGAAAAACAGAAAAACAAACAGGTTGTTTAGGTATAGTATAAATTTCCCCCCCAACGTGCGTTCACCTTGTCGTGGTGGGGGGGGCTCAGTAGTGTACTCGCGAAGCCAAGAAACGCACAGGGAGGTGGCCCGCTTCGGTGGGCGGTGGGAGGCGGCCTTCTTCGGAGGGCGGTGTACCATGTGGGTTGCTCCTGGTACTTCTCTGATAGCAGAGTGGACCGTGGAGCAACCCCATGGTTGTTGTGGTCTGCTTCGGCAGACCTGCCGTCGGGGCGTCGTAGTTGAATGCGTAAGCGATCCTACGACGCCCCATTGAGACGGGGGAAGGTTTTGTTGGGTTTTAGTGGGTAGTACTGGCTTCGCCGGTGAGTCCCACACTTCGTGCGTAAATGCATTTCCCAACGTTAAAAAAAAAAAAAAAGGTATCGTATAAATCCCCCCCAACGTGCGTTCACCTTGTCGTGGTGGGGGGCTCAGTAGTGCCCGGCAACCCAACCGGGCGCGAAGCCAAGAAACGCACAGGGAGGTGGCCCACTTCGGTGGGCAGTGGGAGGTGGCCCTCTTCGGAGGGCGGATAACCATGCGGGTTGCTCCTGGCACTTCTCTGATAGCAGAGTGGACCTTGGAGCAACCCCGTGGTTGTTGTGGTCTGCTTCGGCAGACCTGCCGTCGGGGCGTCGTAGTTGAATGCGTAAGCGATCCTGCGACGCCCCATTAAGACGGGGGAAGGCTTTGTTGGGTTTTAGTGGGTAGTACTGGCTTTGCCGGTGAGTCCCACACCTCGTGCGTAAATGCATTTCCCAACGTTAAAAAAAAAGGTATCGTATAAATAATTCTATATACCTACTTGGGTACCGTAGTTATTTTGAAATCCCAGACAGACACTTCAATTTTATTTATATGCATAGATTATGGGGATGGACTTAAGCTACATTTTAACCCCGTCTATTTATCAAGCAGAAGCGGAACTACGGACAAAAATTATTAGTACCTAAATAAAATCAACATACACAATAATGGAGAAGTTTCATGGTGTTGGTAATATTATATTTAACGCAATGGAATTATAATATAGATCAAAACTAATAGATCAGTGTTTTTTTTTTGAAATCTATCAATAAATGACTGAGAAATTAATTATTTAAGTTTGCGGTCTCTCACTTGAATGTGACGTTATATTACCTAACTGAGATCACGGTAATGTTATACATATTACCACGGTAATATTACATATACATTACCGTGATATTGCCGTGCTGAGAGCGTCGCACCACAAAATAGCACAATTGTTTTTAAGTCGCACGTGAGCTCTCGAGCTGTTTCTGGTTATTTTACGTACAATTGCTTGTTTTTTTATTTATTGTTTGTGTTATTTTTAATTTAAATTTCGGTCGTTCAGGACATGTGATGTCACGAAATTATTCTTACAAGCGCTTTAAAGTTTACTAATTTTTTTCATATGTTGTGATATTTTAATAATTCTTTCGTATATTTTTTGTTATATTTTGCGTATTTTTTTTAATACATAAATCAAAAAAAAATATATTATAAAAAATAAAAAACCCGACTCCATAAAAGCTAATTAAAAAGATGAAAACAGGTTGACGGAGGAATATACACACGTTTCATTCTTGCCGCTAGATGTACTTACATAACTATGTACTGATAAACACATTACCCTCCTTCGCGTCGCAAAGTCGGGTAAAAAAATTGGAAACTTCTCCATTATAATCTATATCTAATGCGTAAATTGCCTCAGTGAGATTGGTCTCCGTAGCCGAAATCCGTTACATAATTAATGTACCTACCTACTACAATTTTGAATTATGACTTTGTATAGAGTATTTTATTTATATATGTACTATTTAAAAGCACATGCTTATAATTAAACCGTATTTTTGTGTTCCGTCATCCGTGTCTAAATAATTAGAACATTTTTATAAAAAAATATAATATCCTCCTACCCGACTTTGGCCAGGATTCAGACTAGATACGTATATTATACTGCGTATAATGCGATATTAAATAATGGTATAATAGTGGTAGCCCATTGCTTACGCGCTCACTTAGGAAACTGAGTGAAGCGGGTTTAAATCCCGGGTCTCGCACCTCTGATATTTTCACGTGTGAATCATTTCTAACATGATTACCTTACGGTGAAGGAAAACATCGTGGGGAAACCCGCATGTCCAAGAGAACCCAGCAAGTTTTCGAAAGACATATGAAGTCACTAGGCAGCGTGGTGGACTATGGCCTGATTCTCTCGTATTGAACGGAGGACGGGACGGGACGGGATTGGGACGTTAAAAAGGTTGAGTACAAAAAATAATAAATAAATATGTTAGGACATTAACACACGGTACCGTCTAGTTCCAAGGTAAGCTACGAGGCCTGTGTTATGGATACCAGATAGTGATACACTACACATATATTACTTTAAATACATTCGTATTATAAATATAAACACCCATGACTGGAGCACAAACATTCGTGGTCATCACACAAATGAATTTTTCTAGCGGGAATCGAACCCGCGACCGCTGACACAGCAACTAGCGTCACTACAAACTTGTGTAAAAGCGTGTCGTAGATTATATTATAGTGCACAAATGCACCCTCTATTCTTTTGCCTCTCACTCCGTCGCGTTGGGAGAACAATTCGATAGTGACCGGTGAGAGATTAGGCGCAGGGCCATCAGTTTTACGTGCTCTCCGACGGAAGAATATGTAATACCATACCATTTACCTACTTCAGTTACTGAGATTTTACACACATACCCACAAAACATTGTAAGTTTCTTTCGCCAATAATTTTTTAGGACAGAGTTTTTTCATTCTGACCTCTAGTGCTATTTGTTACAATTTTGATCTAATAAGACAGCTAAATCAACGATTAGGTATACCTACTTTATTTTAAAAAAAATTACTAGATTTATGACGTTGAATAAAAAATTTTACTTAATAATTTATTTTATTTATTGTAATAACAAAAATATTTATTTCAATTCGAATTTAAAAAAGATGTAGTATTTATCTATATACTAGCGACTCACCCTCGGTCCGCTCGGGTTCGTCCCTGGGGTGGGGTCTGGGAGGACCACCCTTATCCTTATCACTTAGGGGTATGGAAAATAGATAGTAGCCGATTCTCAGACCTACTGAATACGCATATAAAATTTGGTAAAAATCGGTAAGGCCGTTTCGGAGGAGTACGGTAACTAACATTGTGACATGGAAATTTTATATATTAGATTAGAAATATCTATTATCCGAAAAGATAGTTTTATTTAAAATGTCAAATTTTCGCGTAAATCTATGAAAGTATTTTTGATATAATCCAATATTTCGAAAAACATCATTTACAGGAATAAAAAACCTATAGGCACTACTTAAGGCTAATATAGTTTCATACTAGTGAAAGCTTTTTAGAGTCAGATCAGTAATCCGGAGATTTCTTCCTAAGTCTAAACTAATAAAATTCAACTCTTTATAATAGTAGCGTAGATGAAGTTATAACAAACTAAACAAGTTCTTAATACGTTACAGCGGCAAGGTCAAGTTAAATGTGGGTTTTTTCTTGATATTATGCAGAAAAACGGTACTTGTGCTTATAAAACCAGTCTCTGTTTACATTTTGTATACACATCGCAAAATAGTAGAGTAAAAGTATGTTAATAAAACACTAACATATTGTACTAGCATCGCCCGCGGCTCCGCCCGCGTTCAGATGACCAAAAACCAAATAAAATAGCGCTATTGTTATTTCTTTTTCAAGATAAGCTATTTTTAATAATTTATGCCTTATTTAGTAAATTACTTTGCTAAAATATATATAGTATCATCGTGGTTTTATTCTAACCAGTTTTGTATTTTTTCTCAGAAATGAGATATTTTACCGCGGTAAAAAGTATCCTTTATGTTGACCCGGATAACCAGCTATCACCATACCACATTTCATTAAAATCCCTCCAGTAGTTTTTCTGTGATGCGATAATAGACAGACAGACAAAAATTCTAAAAACTATAGATTCGGCCTCTGTATCGATAATAATGTCTATTTCCATAAGATTTTCCAAAAAATACTTATTTATGCATATAATGTACAAATTCGACTTAGTTAGAATTTTATTATACGAGTATGTATAGATTTGGAGTAAATGCTTACAAAGTAATAAGAATAAAGAAACAGCGGTAGCACATTAGAGAGTATTTAGTAAACACAGTGAAACGGGTTCATAGGGTAGGTACTCTTCTAATATTTGCCAACTTCATATCCAACAGGATTGCTACTTACTTATTCCTTTAGGGAAAGAAAGCATTGTAAAGTAGGTACATATCTCAGAGAAATTCTAAAACGAGTAAACTCCTCCTTTCCATGTCTGCTGAATCCCTAACACATCGAGATAAATATTTTAAAGATATCTACTAATATTATAAAGAGGCAGAGTTTGTTTGTTTATTTGTTTGTTTGAACTCGCTAATTTCAGGAACTTCTTATCCGATTTGAAAAATTCTTTTTGCATGACGTAACTCGTTTATCGAGGAACGATATAGGCTGTATATCATCCCGAAAAATGTACTGTTCCCGTAGGATCGATTTGTTTTTGTCTAAGGACAAACCCAAAGCGAATCGCTTGTGGGCAATATACCTATTCAAATTCTCAGAAAAAAATTATCTATCTTATTGTTAGATGATCGAACCGTTTTTCTAATG